GTCAGTATTACTCTCTTTTGGCCTTAGAATTTAAGGATCACATAAATTACTTTTCCTTGCAGGCCTCAGACTAGTCCTTGGTGATTCTGAAACATGGCTTCTTTTATAAGCCCATTTACAACTGACATCAAATGTGAAAAATCTGTCAACAAAAGGAAAACACTGTTATTTTCTTGAAATACACGCTTCCCTGGTTCATTTACAAATCTAGATTGGCGTTTAAGAACTTAGTTTCATGCAGCTTTTCTTGAAGAGCAGGCCCTCCTGCCCCTGCTAGGACAAAGCATTTTGTAACGTGTAGATCTTGGGTTTTCTTTGGATTTCCTTTCCCCTAGATTTCATGCCTGCTGGGCCAGATTGAATTGGAAGGTCGGAGACCCCCACTGATGGCGTCTGGCAAGTCACTGCCCTGCTTTGAGCCTTATGAATTCACCCCCAGGGCTGGTGGTTTTGTCACTGGCAGATTCCTCACTGGCATTAAGCCTCCTGTATGTATTTTGGTTTTTCCTTTTGGCTTTTCTCCTTGTTTCTAGGCTCAGTGGTAGGAGGCCTTTGACCTTTCCCAACAACTTTGAGAAAAGACGATCAAGTAATAAATGCCAAGCCATTTGCTGCTTACGCTCTAGACCCCGTGGCCCATGAGCACTGTAAGGATGCGACCATGTCATGTCCACCATTGTGACACCAGAGCCTAGCACAGTGCCTGGCACATGGTGGGAGCTCAGTGTTTGCTGATGAATGAAAAGATGAATGAGACCAATCCTAGCTCCACCTTTTCCTGCTGTGTCCTCACTCAACCAGTTCTCACTTGCACTTGAAGGCATCAGGGGAAGGGGAGGCTTCTCTCACCAGGGTGATTTCCGTTGCCACAGAGAGCATCACAGAGATTTATTCCACAAAGCCCCCCAAAAGAACCTCCCATGGCTCCTCCTTCACCATGGGAAAATTGACTAGCTATAGCAAATGTCTAGTTTTCCCTTGGTCCACAGAATTCTCCCCTCAGAGAAGGGTTTTCTCCTCACACTTGTCAAAAATGCCTTTCTGAATATTAGTACCTTTAGTTCCCTGGTCTGTTGCATCTCTGCAAAGTTAACCCTTGTGGTCAGACAACTAAGTCCAGATTGTGAACAGCACTGACCCTTTGTTTCAAGGCCACTGACTACGCAACTTCCATCGGTCCCACACAGACTCTCCAGTGTTCATTTATGGCCTCTGGCAAAGGATGGTGGAGAGCTGATACAGACCGTAATTTTTTAAACTGGTTGCGACCCCTTAGCGAGTCATGAAAACATTGTAATAGGTAGTGACCGGCAGTTCTTATGTAATGAAACAGAACAGGATGGTACAGAAAGCACATATATCTTTATGTGCATGTGTGGATATGTGTGCTTGCTGATCACTGTTGTAAATGTATCTCTAACTGAGGATTGCAGTCAGAAAGTTTGGAAAACACTACGTACCTCTGTTAACACTGTTGGAAGTAGAATTCAGATGTGTGGGCTGAACCAAACAGTGATGAGGCACCGGCGTCATTTCTATTTGGAAAATGGGATGTGGAGTGTAATACTGAGGATAAAGTACACAAGTGCAGGTAGCGCACCTGGCCCCTGTAGACAGGAGCTGTTACTTCTCATCCACTTGTCCCTCTGCTCTCGGGCAGGATAAGACAAGGGTCGCCACAGGGGAGGACAGAGTTACTGGGGCCCCTGGAGCCATCAGGCAAGGAGGCGTTGGCCTAGGCTGCTCTTCAGGAAGCATGCTGTCCTCACTTCTACCACTGGGACCTGGGTCTCGGGTCTTGTTTCTCCCACAGGAGTTCTTCTTTCACTGCATGGCAGGGCGAGAGGGTCTGGTCGACACCGCTGTGAAAACCAGCCGCTCTGGCTACCTCCAAAGGTAAAAAGCACCAGTTCTACCACTTTTAGATGAGATCAGCATCCCAATACATTCCCCTTGGTCATCTTTCACATTTTCAGTGACAAGTCACTTAGGATTTCTTGGGATTAAAAAAAATACACAACCCCCCCTCCCCCCAAAAAAAAAACCTCTTTAAAATGTCCATGATTAGCCTATGACAGAAAATAGTAGATATTCTTCCCCTTCTAAAGGACTTGTAACACATGAGCTCAGAGGCTTAAACAAAGGACCCTTTTATTCTGAGGCTGTGCCATTCCCTGGGGGGAGTTAGAGAAACAGTAATGACGAGCTGGTCCTCTGCCCTAGGAGGGCGCAGCAGTCCAGGAGAGTGCAGAGACAGCCGGGCCGGGGTCCCTGTCTGTGAGTCTGTAGTTACTGTTTCTCCAGGTGCAGGTGTCTCTGGGGTTTCTCAGCCTAGACCTGCTTGTTTTCCCTCATTTGGGTTGAAAGAAAACAAGTAGCCACTCTTATCGTCCTGTTTGAGCAGGTAAGGGGATGAAGCTTAAATCTGAACGAGGCCTGACTCCAGGGTGCCGGGCAGGACAGCATAGCAGGCCCCTGCGCTCCAGCCTCCCTCCCTTGGGGTGCAGCATGGGTAGCTCTGCCTTGGGGATTTTTTGCTAATGGTTCTTTGTGAGCCCAGAGAACTGGTGGTGGGAAATGGAGAAGACGGCAAAAATAAATTCCCACGCCTTGCAGGCCTGGTTTCAAGTTAACGTTCTCGGGGAGCTCTGCTGATTGCTGGGTGGGGAGGCAGAGCTCCCTTCCTTCTCTACCTCAGAGGCCTGCCTGCCTGTCCCAGCTTTGGCCTCTCTCCTTTCCCCTGCTTCTGAGCTCCAGATTCCCCCAAAACTGCTACCCTTGTTTTGATCCCTTCCTCTTGACTCTCAGAGCTGCAGCCCATGGGGTTGGGATTGGGGTAGAGACACACCTGGGCGGCCATTCAGTGAGGCACCCATCTGCAGGGCTGGCTGCACTCAGTGCAGGGCTGTGAGCTCCCCTCTCGAGGGCATGGATCACATGGCTAGTTCTTTCTATGAGCAGGGATGACACCCCACCTCCATTCCTTCAGTCATTCAAGAATACCAGAGCAGTTTAGAGAAAGTTAGAAATCAAGTGGTCAGCTAAGTCTGGGGTGGGATTCCATGTGTGAGGCAGGAGTACTTGAGGCCGTTTGCAGGATGTTGGGATCCTGACTAGAACGGAAGAGCAGCAGCCGTTGGGACAGAGGGCACGGACATATACGAGATTCATCTACTAGTGGAAGTTCATGGTGAAGAGAGCAAGTGCAGTGCTTCAGGCAGGACGGATTGGAGGATCCCAGGGTGGCTGTGGCGGAGGTCCAGGCTGGAGGTTAGAAGGCAGCCTCCAGAGGATGGCAATGGGATGGAAGAAGCAGATGTGGCAAGACATAGGGCAACTAGCTGAAACGCTGGAGTAAGAGGAAGGGAGGCATCAGACTCAGCTGCGTTTTCACGCCCGAGTTGCAGCACAGTGGCACAGTTGACAGAAAGATGCCACAGAGGGGAGAGAATGTGCGGGTGGCAGGAGGTGGCAGCAGCAGGATATGCAAGCGGATATATTCGGTGGACCTTAGAGATCAGGCCTGAAGCTTGGGAGAGGCCTGAGATACAGCCTTGAGGGGCCATTGCTGTGCTGAGAACTGGAGCCCTCTGTGAGGCGGGCAGAGCAGAGCAGAGGGCTGACGACTGACACCTTAGCACTTTCAGCAAAGAGGAAGTGGGTGCTCAGCACAAGCGCTGGCAGGCCTCAGGCTGGGTGCCAAGAAGACAGTGGTGACTAACACTGAGCCCTGTCCTTGGAGCTTGAGGGAACAGTGGCGCCTAGGAAACCTCCTCTTAAATTGGCAGGAAAAACTGAGGCAGAGTGGCCAGAGACAAGAATAGGGCCAGCACCACAGCAGCAGAGAGGGAGAAGTTGACCACTGGGAGGATCAAGGGAAGAGAGCACTGGCTTACAAATATCACATCAGCATGTAGTTCCTAATGTCCCCTTGGTGTCCCTGACAATCTGGACTGACAGCACTGAAGAAGCATTGGGTGGAGGGACGACCCTCCTGCTTTGCCTGCCTTGTGGATCTAAGGATACCTGTTCCTGGGGATCTCCACAGTACAGCAGAATGAAAGGGCAGGCAGTAGTCCCTGTAGCTCGGGCTGAAGATGGCAGCCAGGGGCCAGCAGTGGCAGCCAGTCTCTGGGGCACACAGTTGCAGCCTCTGGCTGGGTGATGTTATAGCTCAGAGCCTGGGGCTTTGAAGCCAGCCTGTCCTGGACTCTAGCTGTCTCCTTTCCACCCTCCACCACTTCCTCCACCACTTCCTCCTCTGTCTCTGGTTCCCATCAGAGGCTGTGCTGGGAAGTGATGAGCTTGGTGGGCCCTGAGCCAAGTCTTTATACAGGTGCATCATCAAGCACCTGGAGGGGCTGGTTGTCCAGTATGACCTGACAGTCCGCGACAGTGACGGCAGCGTGGTACAGTTCCTGTATGGAGAGGACGGTCTGGACATCCCCAAGACACAATTCCTACAGCCCAAGCAGTTTCCCTTCCTCGCCAGCAACTACGAGGTAGGCGCTAGACCCATGACACCCAGGGGTGGTGGGCCTTGCATCCGAGCTTTGCCACCCAGTCATAGTGGCTGTTAAAAAGTAGAGTGAGAAGACTATAAAGCATCAACTGATGCCTTGAAACACTTGCTATTTTCATATCCCCTCTGGGGACTTTGAGATGGCAGAAAGGAACGAACACCTCCAGAACAGCAACTGCCGTTGAGGGGCTTTTGCTGTGTGTGGGACCCTCAGTCAAGTGCATTGTGGACACTGTCTGTTCTCCCCTTCCCTGCCGCCTGGGGAAGGAGGTATTCCTTCCTCTGCACATTTCACGGCTGAGGCAGCTGGGGAGCAGAGCATCAGTGACTAGCTGGTGAGGGGCAGAGCTAGCATTTGAACCCAGGCCTGTGACACACAAGCTTATGATTTCCATGCCATACCTTACTGCTCCAGTAATGACCATTACTGTCGACCGAGCAGTCACCCTGTTTTGTTGGGTGGGAAAATGAAACGGATGTGGCCTGTCCAAGGTCACCCAGCAGACGGCCGAATTGAAGGTTGCGCTCAGTGCTAGCTCCTCTCCATCCTGACACCATCCACCCACAGTTTTAGCCGTCACTTCTCCCTTCTTCCTAGAAACGCTGCTGTGTCGTGAAGGGGTTCTGAGTGTGCTATTCTCCCGTGACTCCCTCAGCTGCTGGGACCACCAGCTCTCAAGTCTGGTTTGCACCGTGAGGGCCCCGATTAGTAGTGGATGCTCAGCCCCTCTGAGAGGTGTCATGACAGCTCCACACAGGCCATCTTTGTCCCGTGAAGTTGTGTGACCTGGTCCTTGGGTCACACCCTCATCGCTTTGGTCTTGTGTGTGTGGTTTGCTTAGGTAATAATGAAATCGAAGCATCTCCATGAAGTTTTATCCAGAGCAGATCCCCAAAAAGCTCTCCGCCACTTCAGAGCCATCAAAAAATGGCAGAACAAGCATTCTAACACCTTGCTGAGAAAAGGCGCCTTCTTGAGTTATTCCCAGAAAGTTCGGGAAGCTGTGAAAGCCTTGAACCTCCAGGATGCCAACCAGCATGGCCGCAGCCCCGGGACTTACCAGGTGACTCAGGGGGCTATATGTCCAGTGCCTAGTGTATACAGGCCTTAGTCAGGGGGTAAGGGAATGAGGGTTGTTTTTCTAAGAGAAGATATAATGATAAAATCTGGCTTCATTCACTGTCAAGAATCACAGGGCACTCAAATGGCAATTTAAGGAGGGGACTCTTTACAAAGGTGGGGACGGGGTTTGAGGAACCTAACTGGGTCTGGTACTTTTGGTTCCTCATCGCCCCAGGCATGAAGGAAAAGGGAGGTGGCTGTGGGCAGAGGCTACTTGACAAGAGCCCTCATCGGAGGGACGTGGCCTCCAATGCACCTTGGAGAGGATGGGAGCTACATGCCGGGCTTCACTCTCCCGCCTTCCCCTCTGCTTCTGGGGCTTTCTGTTAGCCAAACACAGCAAGGAGGCAAGAGGCAGGGGAGTGCTTTTAAGTGGCCACTGTTGAACGGCTTTTGGGTATAGGGTGTGTGAAAGCCTGGATGGGGCAAACAGATCTAGCAGAGTTTCCAGGCTCAACTGTGTCCAGGTTGGCTTCGAACAGCCCTGGCAACTCTTATCCTAGCATTCTTAGTAATAGTGCCCCATTTTACTCTACCTGGTCACCCTAACTTACCTGGTCACCCTACCTATGCTTGAGTGGGCTGGGACGAAGAGTCATAGTCAAGCAGTGCACCCTAGGATGGATTCGGTTTCTGCCTGTTTTAAACGTTGAGCTGGTTTTCTCCTCGCACTCAGGGTTCTGTCTCGTTCCCCAACTCTCATTTGAAGCCAGCCCTTGATCCTCCTTATCCTAGTGGATGTCCCAGGAAAAGAAGCCCATTCCTGGTGTCCTCCAGTGGCTGAGGCCTGTCCTTCCTTTCAGATGCTGAGGATGTGGGGTGAGTTAGATGAGCAGAGTCGAAGGAAATACCAGAAGAAGGCGGCTCCTTGTCCTGACCCCAGTCTGTCTGTCTGGCGCCCGGACATCTACTTTGCATCAGTGTCAGAAACATTTGAAAAAAAGATGGATGACTACAGTTGCGAGTGGGCATCCCAAGCAGAGAAGAGTTATGAGAAATCAGAGCTTTCCCTTGACAGGTAATGACATTGGTGTTTATATGGTATGTGCTGAGGGAAAGTCTGTTGTCAGGCCCTTTCCTACCCCTCTAGAAGAGGATAGCCCCCTGGGTTCCATACTCCAGCAGGAGGGAGGGAAGTGAAACAGAAGGGCACCTTGCAAGCCCCAAGGGCTCGAGGACAGACAGGAGCAGGTAGGCAGGGGTGGACACCCCAATCTGGACCAAGATGGAGTAGAGTGCTCTGCTGGGAGCGAGGCTTACAGAAATGACCTTTGTCATGAGTTTGGTGTGGTGGACGTGGCTTATTGAGAATCAGGGAATCTGGTCGCCATTCAGTGACTGCCAACTAACTGTATGACCCAGAGCAAATCATTCACTGCCCTGTGACACCATGTCTCAGCCTTTTGTGAGGGGTTGGATTTGATTACTCCAATGATCTTTTGAGCTTTGGGTTTCAAAGCCTTAAGGAAGAAGGACCACATAGAGTCCTCAGTTTGGACCCATTCACTCAAAAAAATTAATAAATAAAATAGGAAAAATATTTCTATGGTCTAGGTGGGTGGGAAGCCAGGCATGAGCCAAGACCAAGCCACAATGGGTTAAAACATCAAAAGTGCACCCAAGGAATGAATGCCTGCTGGGGACTGGTCTTGGGGAGTTGTCAGGAGATTCTTCCTGCTTGGATATCTAAGCCTGGCCTGCAGAGCTGAAAGACTGAGATCATCTGCCATAGCCTGGCTCCTTGTCCTGCCCCTGGTGAAACCCGCCAGGTGCCTGGAGAAGCTAAAAGGGTCCAGAGACTGCAGATGTTGGCAATGAGCAAAGACAAACACTTGGGTGGAAGAGCTGGAGGGGAGGGACAGGGCTTTCTCTTTTGACTCCTTAAAGTGGTTTCTCCAGCCAGGCCTCAGAGATTCTCAGATAGAATAAGGCATACTGGTTGTCACAGCTGCCGGCAGGGCTTTCCCTGCAAGAGGAAGACCTGGATCCCCCACCCCCATTGCCTGCTTCCCTGCAGCTCAGGGTGTTACTGTTTACCAGCTGGAGGACCAAGTCAGTCCTCCCTCCAGCTGTGCTGCATCAGGAAAGGGGAGAGGTTCGCCCTGGGGAACATCACATGGGTTTGGAGGGCCAGAACAGAATGGTGGTTCCCTGTTCGTGGCTCTTGCAGGGGACCTTTTAACAAGCAGCAAGCTCTGGGTGCGGCTCCAAAGTTCTGGAAGTATTTGAAGGTTTTTGCTGTAAGAAATGCTGCTGTGCACTCAGACTTCACTGATTTGAAGTAATAGGGGAGAGAAGACACATCAGATTCGTGAAAAGCCTGACTTTTACGAAAAACTCACATAGAAACATAGTTTTGTTGCTTTCTTCTGCATTCACACATTCATCCATTTAGTCTTCATTTGTTGAGCCCTTTTTTATTCCATGTACAGAGGTACTACAGCATTCTTGTGACTCTTCTAAAAGGATGAGACTCTTCTAAAAGGAAGAATGCCTAGTAAATTGCAAAATTGTGCAGCACATGGGTCTCCAATCCCCCAGGCCACAGACCAGACCGTGGCCTATTAAGAACTGGGCTACACAGCAGGAAGTGAGCAGCGGGTGAGCAAGAGAAGCTTCCTCTGTATTTGCAGCCGCTCCCCAGCACTAGCATCACCACTTCAGCTCCACCTCAGATCTATCGGGCATTGGATTCTCGTAGGAGCACTGATCCCTGGTACCAAAAAGGTTGGAGACTGCTAGATGGCACATGTACTTCCGATGTGGCACACGTTTACACTAATTAAGAAAATAAACCCCTACTGCTACCTCCTCCCATATCCCATAACTGCTTCGTGAACCTCTTTTTAGTTCATACAGCGGAAGGTTTAGGCCGTATCTAAACTGCCGCAGCTGGTGAGGAAAGGAACAGGGGAATGTGACTAGTGAGTTCAGACATTCTCATCGTTTGAGGGGCTTGTCATTGGTTCAGAGTGAACCCACGTCATCCTCAGGGAGAATGTGAACAGTCCGAGCTTGGACATCTAGAGCTTTAGCCACCCAGCTGGGATCTGTGCTGTGTAATTTAGGACATTTTAGGATCACTAGCAGGAATTTAAGGATTAGACGGATCATTTGTCTGGAGAAACCAGCCCAGAAAGGGAGGGGGAATAATTCCATGTGCCCTAGTTTGGGTGGTGTCTGCGCTTCTAATCCCTGTGTCCCCTGCCCCTCTCAAGGTTGAGGACCCTGCTGCAGCTGAAGTGGCAGCGCTCACTGTGCGACCCGGGCGAGGCGGTGGGCCTGCTGGCCGCCCAGAGCATCGGGGAACCCTCGACACAGATGACTCTGAACACCTTCCACTTCGCTGGCAGAGGCGAGATGAATGTCACTCTGGGCATTCCGAGGTGGGCTGCGAGGGGGTGTGGTGTGGAGCCTGTCCTAGCCCACTCCTGGAGAAGTTATTAGAGAGTGTGTGTGTAACTGAGAGACAGGGTTTTATCAAAGTGGGGATCAGGGTTGGAATTTCCAGAACCCTGCTTTTCTGTACAGCTTCGTAGCTGGGTCAGTGCCCAGGCCTCTTAGAATCCCTATTTATTCCTCCGCCAACTCCTGTGTCAAAGTTACACAGATGCTTGTGAAACTGCACACTTCTGGGGTCAGGACTCAGGAAGATGTTGTAAACAAGCCCCATGCAGGGCCACCTGGTTGCCCAGTTCCAGGGCACCATTCACCTAGGACGTGACCCACAGTGGCCCCTGGCCCTTTAGGTAAATGTGCACCCTGCAGGATGATGGCCAGTGGGCGAGAGGAAAGAATGGAGGTCAGACCCACCTGCATTCGATGCCTGGCCCTGCCACTTTCTAGCAGAGTGACTCAGGCAGGTTCCTCAGCTTCCTCAACCTCATGGTCCTCACCTGTGGAAAAAAGGACAGGGGGCCCAGCATACTGTGCAGTCATTCAGTAAGCTCTTAGTAAGCACCCACTGTATGTAAGGCACAGGTCATAGGAAACAATAAGTCCTATCATTGAAGAGCCACACTCCAGTGGAGGAAACTGTCAGAAGTGTCACTTGCTGTCACACATGGGGCCAGAGCTGGGACTCTGATTCAGCATATCTCCCTGCAAGATCCCAAGTCTCTCTCAGATCCCAGAGAACTCTGACAAGAAAGGCCTCACACAAATGGGGAATCCAGGTGCCTCTTATGATCAAATGCGCCCTTGTTCTGTGACAGGTTGAGGGAGATTCTCATGGTGGCCAGCGCCAACATCAAGACACCCATGATGAGTGTGCCCGTGCTCAACACCAAAAAAGCACTGAAGAGAGTGAAAAGCCTGAAGAGGCAGCTCACCAGAGTGTGCTTAGGGGAGGTAATGGCCTCTCGACCCCCTGCAGACTGGGCGAGGCATTTTCCAGCATCCTCTCATCTATGAAGAACAACTTTGCTGACTGTTCAGACCCTGGGCTCAGACTCCCACCAATGAGAGAGATGCTTTCTCTGCCAGATGCTGCGTAGGGATGAGTCAGAAAGCTTTAAGAGTAATCATTAGTTCTACAAGATTCTCATGTGCCTTAAAAATAAAGAGGCTTCTGAGTTAGCTTCCCAGCCTTGCTGGAGCCCACTCCCTGTAGCCTTGGGCCATTCTCTGGCAGCGACCTGTAGGCTAAAGGCCTCTCTCCCCCAAAAGGGTCTGTACCGGCAGAACTCACTGGAGTTTCTTTGGGGTCTTGGTGGGTGGCCCTAGCCCCTATCCCCCTAAGGCCTCAGGTTTCTCACCTATAATGCTCAGTCTCCTGGTACTAGGGCAGGTTGGGTTCTCTCTCTGTTTCTGGTTCTAGGTGTTGCAGAAAATTGATGTCCAGGAGTCCTTCTGTATGGGAGAAAAGCAGAACAAGTCTCGGATGTACCAGCTGCGGTTTCATTTCCTGCCACATGCATATTACCAGCAAGAGAAGTGCCTGAAACCTAAGGACATCCTGCACTTCATGGAAACAAGGTTGGGAGTCAGGCCATGTTTGTTGTTTGACTTTGTCATTGATCTTGAGCCCTCCTGGCTATAGTACTCCCAGAGATTGGGACCATTTGTGTAAATTAGTTCTTCAAGGGAAGCACTTAAGAAAACAGCAGGGCTCTGTAGCCTAATCAGGAAGCCTCATGCTTGCTCTGGCTTGTGGGCGTGACTGCAGTAACCACACAGCACCTCTTAACCCTGTTCTTCTCCCTGGTCGAGTCTTGTCTTTTTAGGTTTGTAGGTTTTAAGACATAGAAGTATGAGTAACATAAAGAGAATTGAGCCCCGTTGCAGTGGTGCCGCTGTGATTTCAGAGGAGCTTGTGGTTTTTTTGACGTGACGTGATTCCAGGCAGCATAATGTGATTCCTGATACATTTATATTCTGTTAATGATGAGTCACGTACTGATGGTCTGCTGCTCTTAAAATGCCAATTCTATAACTGAGTCACCTCCAGCTTCTTCTGCTTTCCTTCTGGTAGGTAGAATGAACTTCCTTTTTCTCTCAAGTTTAAGTTACTGTTGGACATTTGAGAAGCACAGGCCGCAGTGCTGAGTACAGAGGAATAGAAGCATAGGCAAATTGGGGTGGGGCAAGCCGGGAAGGGCCAACCGAGTACTTTTGACTTGCCAGCGGACCCCAGATCTTAGAATGCAAACTCAAATGGCTTCAGGGCCCGGCAGGTAACAGGGCAGTGAAGCCCGTAGGCAGGCCCCCAGCAGACGGGAGTGTGCAGAACCTGCCTCCAGGGGGCAGGAACGTGAGCCAGGGTAGCGGATCTTCTGCTTCAAAAAAAAATAAAAAGAAAGCTCTCCCATCTTTTTTCTGTCTTTGGTTTTTGGTTACTTGCTTTTGCTTTTATAAATGAGAAGTCTCCTAATTTTTAAACGTCGGCAACTAATTCATATCTTTTTAAAACCTTGGTAAGGCCCAGATAGATCCCATCTGTTGGCAGCATTTGGTTGGACCACCGACCACTGCCTCTAATCTAGACCAGCTGTCAGGTCTTCCTGGAACTCCTCAGAATAGAGAACTGATGGCAGAGTCAAGGCAGAAAGGCCACTGCATTCAGTTGTCCCACAAACCTTTACTGAGCGACACCCACTCAGGTCACAAGGCAGCATGGCCAGGAGAGGGTGGCTGCCCTGCCATGGACCCTCTCTCCTCTCACCTGAAGATGTGAGCTGGCTTCAAGCTGGCCCTCTAAGTATGTGTTGAGGACAGTGGGTATTGTGGTAGGTGAGCTGGGATGTGAACTCAGCCCTTTAGATGGGGGTCACCGACCAGGCAGATCCTGTCCCAGTTTACATGAGCTCTGCGTGAAGCTGTCGCTGGCCAGGCCTCAGCAAACACCTGCATCACTATCCACCTGGGTAAAGAAGGTTCATTGTATCAGGCAGGCCCAGTGCTGGGCCAGGTCACTGGAGACCCATCAGTGCACCAGCCTGCGGCTCATTAATTAACAGGGAGGAACATAGTTCCCAAGGGTCCTTCATGTTTGTGCTGGGCAGGCAGCCCTTTTCTGAGAAATAGGAATTAGGATTTCATGGCCTCTTGAGAATTATCAAGAGCAGGTGGAGTGGGATGATCTGCCCCATTTCCATTCATCTAAGGCCTGCCGAGCAGGTAAGTCTGCATATGGTGTGCAGCAGGCTGTGCATAGAATTCTTTTTACTTACCTTATCTTGGAGAGTTGAAAATCCCTCACTTTTTAAAAATTTCTTCTCATTGAGGGACAGTCCTGGCTGCTTCCCAAGCAGTGAAATACTTTTTCAACTTCTAGTTTGTATTTTGCATATGCACTCTATGCACTTGTAAATCTGCGATAATAAACAAAGCCGTGGTAGAGCTTTCTTGGTAGAGCTACTGTGTGACTTCGGTGGAATGGGCTAAAGGTGAGAGAAGCAGCAGCATGTGGACTGGACTTCTTTTGTCAGGCCTGGGCAGCAAAGCAGCCACATTAAGGCCTCTTACAGACCATAGGAAATGTGAGTGTGCTTTCAAAAGAGTAATCCTCCCCACAAGAAACTTTTTCTCCTTCCTTTCTCCCTCCCCTTCCCCTCTCCCTCCTCTCTTCCATCCTCTCCTCTCTTCTCCCCTTTTCTCCCTTTCTTCCCTTCCTCTCTCCCAGTTTTGGGATCATGACACTTTTTTTTTATTCAGGTATAACTGACATTTAGTTTCAGGTGTACAACATAGTGACTTGACATTTGTATGCATTGTGAAATGGTCATCACAGTAAATCTAGTTACCATGTGTCGCTTTAAAAAGTTAATACAATATTTTTGACTATTTTCCCCAGGCTGTACATTACATCCCCATGACTTATTTATTTTATAATTGGAAGTTTATACTTCTTAATTCTTTTCACCCATTTCATCACCCCCAACTCCCCTCACCTCTGGCAATCTCCCATCTGTTCTTGAATCTATGAGTCTGGGTTTTGTTTTGTTTGGTTAGTTTTGTTTTTTAGATTCCACGTAAAAGTGAAATTGTACAGTATTTGTCTTTTTCTGTCTGACTTATTTTACTTAGCATATCTTCAGGATCCATCTGTGTTGCAGATGGCAAGATTTCATTTTTTAATGGCTGAGTAATATTCCATTGTGTATATGTCATATTTTCTTTATCCATTTATCTGTCAGTGGACACTCAAGTGGTTTCCATATTTGGCTATTACAAATAATGCTAGGGTGCATTAAGGAACATAGTGGGGTGCATATATCTTTTTGAATTAGTGTTTTGCATTTCTTCAGATAGATACCCAGTAGCGAATCATGTGGTAGTTCTATTTTTAATTTTTTGAGGAACATCCATATTATTTTACATAGTGGCTGCACCAGTTTACAGTCCCACCAGCAGTGCATGAGGGTTCATGAGACTATTTTGACACAGGAGACCAAAAAAAAAAAAAATAGACACACAGTGGCACTTCCCCAGACATATAAGCCTTGAAAGTCCCCTAGATATTTGTATTGACAGCTGTCACTTTGGATATTTGTGTAAGGTATCTGGAAGGCAGGCTAGGGGTTGGGGTGAAGTAGAAAGAACACTGAACTAAGAGTCAGGGTGTCATTTCTGGTCTCGGGTCCCCAGCCATGAAATGACCAAGCTGGCAGTCTGCAGTTACAGCTTCTGTGAGTCTGACTTTGAAAACAGCAGGTGGTGGAGCCGTGTTGCCAGGCCCTTTCAGAATCAGCCAACGGTCATTTTCTCTGTTTGTAATTATTTATGTGGGATAGGAGGTTTCTCTGCAGCCTCTCCCTCCTGTTCCTGTTGCCACATTCTGACAAATAGCAAAACTGTCACAGAACAGTCGCTGTGGGCCTTCAGTTCCCTTGCTCTTGGCAAAATCACAGAAGGGCAAACTACTTGCACCCCCAGGAGAATTCTAGCACACTGATCACCTGTCTCCCCACTTACTGGTCAGCTGTTTAGTCTACTTTCTCACCTTCTCTCATGTTCCCCACCAGTCCTGTTCACCTTAAGAGGCAGACATGGCAGAAAGTATTCCTAACTGGGAGATTAGAGAAGCTCTCCTGGGAGAATAACATTTGCACTTAGACCCAGCCTCGGGTGGGGAACGTTGTGGGGTGGGTTGGGGATACAGCTTCAATATTAGATAAAGGGCTGGGAAGATTGCTGGCAAAGCGAATGGCTTGAGCATGAGAATGCAGACGTGTAATTGGGGTTGAGGACAGCTCTCGGGATCTTGAAATGCTGCTGGGAGGAGCCTCAGATGGGTGTTATCGCCACAAAGTGACTGGCTAGGGGAACCTGATGAGTCGGAGCAGCAGCCCCACAACAGAAGGAGGTAACGAGCAGTTATGTTTGGGGAGCAGGCTGAGTGCTTCCACATGCCCGTGCATCTCTTTTTATCTCCTTTACACAGTAGATTTGGGCATGAGGTGGGAGTGGTCCCACTGTATGGATAAGGGCAAGGTCCTCCTCTCTAGTCTCTGGTGGAACAGGGCCTTGAACCAGAGCCTGCCCTTTCAGGAAACATCTCTTCCGCCCCCTTTCCCAGTTGGATTGTATCTTCCTGAAATCAAGCCTGGCATGCCTCCATCTGGCTTTCTTATCCCTGTCCCCAGTGCGTAGTGACCAAGCTCTTAATGCAGATTAATGAGTGAGGAGCCCTTTTTCTGCCAAGGACAGAAACCCCAGCAAAACCACGTGTAACTTTTTAAAGTTTTAAAAAACAACGAGGAGGGAGAGTGGCAATTTTTTGTTTTTAATGAGCAAAATAGTAAACATTTGATGTGCCTGTTTCTCAAATGAAGACTCTAAGCTCCTGTCTTTCATCCTTGCTTTGTCCCAGGGCACATGATAGGCACATTAGAGGTGCTCAGAAAATAGAGGATGGCTGGCTGGACTTATGAGGGACCTGATTCTTTTTTAAAAAAAAAAAAAATGCCTACAGCACCTGGTATTCCAAGGTGGCCTCCCATCCAGGTACTAACCAGGCCTGACCTTGCTTAGCTTCCAAGATCAGATGAGATCAGGCGCGTTCAGGATGGCATGGCTGTGGACCTGATTCTTTACATAATTAAAAGCACTTCATTTTGGCATGCTGTTATGGCCTAATGAAGAAGACAGGCAAGAGATTATGTGAACAAAGAAGCTCGGTGAGGGATGGGGTGAGGCCCTAAGGGACCCTAAAAATAGATAACTCAGGAGGAAGGGGCCAGGGGTCAGGAAAGCCCACCCCCCCACCCCGGCTATGCTTGAAATTGCTTCTTTTAAATTGGTTTAGTTCTAACCTGTTGACATGATTTATTGCCACAAAGTAAGTTATCACTGTCTTTGAAATGCCAAAGAGCATTTCCACATCTTAGTTTCTTCATCAAATTGTCAGGGCTCCCACACCAAGGAGACAGGAGTTGTCAGGCCTGAGCAGTGCCACTTTCTAGGGATGCAGCGGGCAGAGGAACAGTCCTAGTCCTGGCTGGACTGTCCTCTCCTACTGTAGGTTTTACCATCCTTGCTAGACAACAGCCACAGGTGCTCCAACAACTGTCATTTACTAAGCACCCACTCTGCCAGGCCCTGTGACGGGTATCAAACGTAGCGTGATTTCTAATCCCTAAAAAACAAGATTGTGTCATACGTATGACTACCCGTATTTTACAGACAAGGGAGTTGACGCTCAGGAGACCACCGTGCTCAAAGCCACGCTCCTTCGCAGTGGCAGAGCACATGTTCAGCCCAGGCCTGGCAGGTGGTGTTCTTTCTGACATGCCGTGTGCTGTTCAGAAACAGCAAGAGGGAAGAAAAGTGAGCTAATAGGAGAGGCCCGTTCTCATCTCGTGTATAAATCTCCAACATCAGCCTAGATGGCTGTAAGAACCTTGCACAGAACATCCTGCCCCTACAGCGAGGGCAGAGTGGAGATTCTGGTGCTGAATGGGTCTGCATGGCTTTCTTCTCGTTTTAGATTCTTTAAAATTCTTATGGAATCCATCAGAAAGAAGAATAGCAAAGCATCAGCTTTCAGAAGCGTGAACACTCGAAGAGCTACCCAGCGGGACCTAGACAATGCTGGAGAGTCAGAGAGGAATCAGGTGAGTGCCCCTGGGCCCTTGGGAACTGGCACAGGTAGGGTTCCAGGGCTGAGAAGCACGTAGGGTGGTGGCTCACTCAGTCTTCTCTCCTGGGAAGCCTCCGTGACTGTTCTTAGCACTCTTCAGCTTCTTCCTGGTATTGGCCCATCTCTCCGCTTACCTTAGCATTTATCTGCTATGCTGAGAGCCGAGAAGCAATATTGACTTCTTGGGTGTGGCGGGCCATGCCAGGGAGGCAGCATGGTCTGGTTGGCCCTGGGCAGGGCCCCAGTTCATCTGTCTGCTCTCAAGGACGCCTCCATACGTGAGGTTTTATCCTGTGGATAGATTCAAAGTAATGGTACTTGTCGAGCTTTTGGAAATTCTTTTTCAGTCTCATTTTGCTCTGCCTTTGACTTAACAAGGCCAAATGAACTGAGGCCCACAGGGTACTGGCAGGGACCAGAGGGGCATTTTGAAGCAGGGAAGTTGTGCTTCAGTGGTAAAAGAGGAAGGAGCCAGAGAAAAGCCATTGGAGGCGAAGTAGTCCAGCAGTGATAATACCTCATCTCCCAGGAGACCTGGGCCAGGAAGCGGGCAGGTCCCTGAGTATCATCTGAGCCAGCAGTTTGTTGAGCAATAGGCTGTGCCAATGCAGTGAGCCTCCTTGGGTGGAGTTGCAGTGAAGACCGGCACTGTCCCTGCCTACTCTGCTATCTCAGCTGTGTTACCTTCACTCTCTGGGCCTGCCTCCCCATCCCTAAAATGAGGGACTGGCTTAGACTAGAGAGAATTCTGGGTCTCCTGCTATGGATGTGTAACAACAGTTGGCTAACTCAAGCACAGATTGGCACAGACTGTCTTTGAAGGGGGCTGCCCAGTCCTTACTATTAAATCACTCAGAAAGAAACTTAAGAAACTAGGAGCCAAGGTCAGAAGGAGAAAGGTATAAATATTTGGTTTTTTAAATACTCGGTAACTCACCAGGACAACTCTCTATCTTCATCTCTACCTGCAACAAAAATATTTAGAACAATATTTTGCAAAACCATCTTCTTTTAATGACTTGGAAAATCATGGCACTTTCTAAGAAAAATTTTCTTAAGGCAAGATTTTGGAAGCGGTACATGTAAAGATGAAGACTAAAGAGGAAGCATGGAACCCAGGGCTAGCACAGGGTGGAAGGGTAGGTGGGTGATGGCTTCTCTAGGCATTGGATGTTGGCGCTAACCTTTTTCCTTCTTGTCCTCATACCACAGGGTGAGCAGGAAGGTGATGAGGAAGAGGAGGGGCACATCGTGGATGCCGAAGCTGAAGAGGGAGATGCTGATGCCTCTGACATCAAACGCAAGGAGAAGCAAGAGGAGGAGGTGAGGGGACTGTGGCTGAGGTCACGTCCCTCCTCTGTCACTTCGACGAGATCATCTCCTGATGCATAAGGCCACACCTTTGTATCTTGATGGAACCCGTCAGGAGCCTTGAAGCAAGGCCATCCTGGCTGACACCATTCTTGATCGAGAAGATGGTGTTCGCAGGGCTGCCCTTTGGGTCTAGCTGTCCCAGGATTTGAGTCAGTTTCAAGGACCCAGAGGCCTTCGCAGGGGGATGAAGTCAAGCTACCTCCTGTTGTTACAGTGAAAACATAATACCTCCCTCCTCTCCCCCAAACCAGTCCTCTGCTATCATGGTGCCTGCAAGGACAGAGGACAGATTAGAGGGGCTGAGGGAATTCACGGGAACAAGAGCACGAGGTGAGGGTGAGGAAGGGCTTTGGAGACTGGGCAGCCAGCATTCCCAGGGGAAGGACCAACAGGAGGGACAAGGAAGGCAGCCTAGCCACACGGAGCATGTGTGGCATGGTTGGGCCAGTCAGATAGGCCTTTGCTGGGCACTTATTCTGCAAGCCACGTCCAGGTAGACCGTGGGGCCCCAGTGACACAGCCTGTGTTCTGTCCCCTGCCAGGTTGATTATGAGAGCGAGGAAGAGGGAGAGAAGGAGGGAGAGGAGAATGACGACGAGGAGGATGTGCAGGAGGAAGGAAACGTTTGTGGGGAGGGCGCCCACAGGGCCCAGGAGCAGGACGAAGAAGTGGGCTCAAGCCCCGAGGAGAACTCGCCCCCTGCTCCAGCCCCGAGACAGCACCGGAAACCCACCTGCAGCCCAGAGCCCCAGGGAGCTGAGGCCGTGGAACACCGGGTGCAGGCCGTGTGTGAATCCCACCCGTTCATAGAGGACTACCAGTATGACTCGGAGGAGAGCCTGTGGTGCCAGGTCAGCGCTGGCAGCGCCGCGGTGGGCCCAGGGCCGCGGGAGGGGCCTGCTGCTCGGCGCCTCTCTGCACAGCTGGCGTGGCCAGTGGGGCCTGTGAGAATTGGTTGCTCTCTTTTTGATCTCTGTTCCCTTAAATTCAGAATCTGGTGACAACCGTGGTCCCTCTGCCCCAAATCACGGCCTCACACATTAGACTTTCAAACCCCTAGTGGACTACTTTTCTGATTTTTCAAAAACTGTGTGTGCGAGGGCTGATCAGCACTTTCAAATACGTCACCCCATTCAGTCCTCACTCAGTACAACAGATTGTCAACATATGTTATAGTCGTCATAGAGGCAAGCAGGAGTACTTTGTTCCTGACGCGCGTGGCCCCTGGTCCCCAACTTCGGGATGGCATCGTTCCCTCACAAGCTGGGTGATTTGGATGCCTAGACAGAAACACACATAGTGGCTTTTTAGTCCTTTCCTTTGATCCAGTTCAGTGGTTTCCAGATGGCACTGTAGATAAGAGTCATTGACCAGGGTTACACATGCAAAACTGTGTCTTATGCTTTGTGATCATTAAGAGTGTATCAAGGGTGACGTGAGCAACATGATTTTTCACTGTTCTCGTCAATGTCTGTGAAAATGTCGCCCACTGTTCTCACCTCAGTCTGGGTGACTATAGATGGCTGCTGTGTGTGGTTGGTTAGGCTGCCGGGTGTTCGCGTGTGCAGACCCACCGCCCCAGCTCGCTCCAGCAGGGCCACCTGTCCCAGCCAAGGTCGTTTCCTTAGAAGGCTTTGGAGGAGTACCCCGGGGAGCCTGGTCAGCATGGGCTCTGTCCCCTCCATGGGCTGGGGTGGCCATCTCCCCTGGCTCAGCTCTTTTTCCTCCTCCAGGTGACAGTGAAGCTCCCTCTAATGAAGGTTAACTTTGATATGAGCTCCCTGGTAGTGTCCTTGGCCCATAGCACCGTCATCTATGCGACCAAGGGCATCACAAGGTGCCTCCTGAATGAAACCACCACCAACAAGAACGAGAAGGAGCTTATCTTAAACACAGAAGGAATCAACCTGCCAGAGCTTTTCAAGTATGCTGAGGTATGCGTCCCTCTCCAGGTTGTCTGCTGGCCTGAGACAGACCCTTACACTGTCTCAGCTTCAGGCCACTCAGAGGCGAGGCTCCAGCCACTTTATCCTGGCCCTTTCCAAGCTGCTGGCACTTCTAGCCCAGTGTCCCCAAACCTGGCTTACCTCTTGGGGATCTGCAGGGCACATGAGCCTCGTTCAGGCTTGCAGTACAGAAACCTACTTAACTTTATCTAACCCAGAGTTTCCTAAACTAATTTGAATATAATTGCTTTTCCTTGAAATTAAAACCTTCCCAAAGTACAGTAAGAAATAGTTTGCTGAGTTGCTGGCCTGGGAGCTGCTCACTTTATCCGGTAAAGGAGGCCCCAGGTATAGCGGTGGCCCAGGCCCCCGTACCCAGCACTGGCAGAGGCCACGCGTTCCTGTCCCGCCTGCTCCACTAGCACTTCGGTCCTTTCCTCTGAGCGCTCTCGTGGCTCCTCCCACTTCACTGAGTCCCCGCAGCTTTCTGAGATTCTCTCAGTCCTTGTGCACAAGTGCTTTCCCTGTAGAATACCGAGGAACTCGGACCCTCCAGCCCACTCTCCTCTAGTCTCCCAAGCTGGCAAAGCTCTCCCACCTCACATACTTCCTCCCACAATGGCTGCCCCACAAAGTTCCCTTCTGCCCTGGAGCCTTTCACCAAATTCTTTAGAGGACAGAGCAAGAAAGCTTAAACCTTCTGAGTCAGCCACTGGCTGGACAAGCTCCATGTCATGTGCGTGGGTTTGTTTAAACAAGGTCAGACAAGCTACCAGGGTCTCAGGTCTCCTGTGGGGGTGACCTGCCATAACACAGAGCCACCTTGAGCCCCCCCCAAGACAGCTGAACTGGACCCTGACGAGGCTCCGCTTATCCCACAGGGCTGACCTGTCCCCGTCTCATGTACTCTGGAGAGATGTTTGTATGTATCTCTGCTAGAGAACTTTCCTCACCCGTCAAGGAGAAGCCTCGAGCCTAGAAACAGGTTTTTCTGTTAAATAAACAAAAAATACCTTTCTGTCGACTCTACTGCAGGCACCAAATCCTCTCTCTCAGCTCTGAAACTGAGGAGATAGACCTTGGGGCTCGGCCAGTGTCCTCTCAGCAGCTCTGCCTACGCTGTTTCCTTTCAGTGATCCTGGGCCTCCTGGGGACCACTTAGTCATCAGTTGTGCTTGACTGCCAGACAGGGAGAGAGCGCGGCCGGGGTGGGACATGCCCGAGGAAGGGAGCAGAAGGCCAGGCCCTCCAAATCGATCCCCCCTCTCTCCCCAGGTTCTGGATTTGCGCCGCCTGTATTCCAATGACATCCACGCGATGGCCAGCACCTATGGCATCGAGGCTGCACTGCGGGTTATCGAGAAGGAGATCAAGGACGTGTTTGCCGTGTACGGTAAGAGGCACCGCGGATCGCAATCGGGAGGTTCCAGCGTGTCAGTCCAGCACCGTAGGGGAGCCGAAGTGTGGGCACAGTGAGTGTGTAGCCTGTGGAAGACCCTGAGAATGACCGTGGAGAGAAGGGGTGGCTTGTTTTTCAGTCTTGTGTGGTGAGTCCCATCACCGAGAGCCCCCGTTTGTTTCTCGTCCTCCGGCCTCTGATAACTTGGCCCCATCCTCCTCAGGGTTTCAGTTCTCAAGTGAAAGCAGTGCTGTTGGTTACTCTTGTTCTGCCAGTCTGGAATCTGTTTCCTGTACTGCTGGATGGATGCAGAGTGCAGGGTGAAGTAATAGGGAGCAGGACTAAGGGAGGGACTGCCCAGCCGAGATTAGGGGTTAAGTAGCTGAGTAAATAGGTGATGGAGCTGGAAGTGGAACCCCGTTGTCTGACACCTGAGCCCCTGCACTGACTTGAGTCAGAAGGTGATGCTGCCCCACTGTCCCCTTGTCGCTGCTTAATCCTTCCCGATGTTGCTGCACGTGACAGGCATTGCAGTCGATCCCCGCCATCTCTCCCTGGTCGCGGACTATATGTGCTTCGAAGGTGTTTACAAGCAACTGCACATTTGGGATC